TACTCTGATGTACCTACATGAGATTTACCTAATTAAAACTTTGCTGGTGTGTGTAGCCACCATAACAAACCCCAGCACCAGCAGTTCTGTGGAATACCCATGTATGCGGTGTGATATATTTTGTAGAAAAAATATCATAATATGATGAGGGTTCCTTACATCCTGTTATTATCTGAATATGCGGGTGCAATTAACTGCAGACTGAGAAAGGCTTGGGCACTATTATACTGCCTTTGGAGCTAAAATCTCCAGTTCCTCAGTTAGAGAATATGTGAATTTCTGTATCTCCCTGGTGCCCCAGAGATGCGCAAAGAGTGAGAGAGGCAATTCTGACTCGAGTCATTTCATCATGGTCTGACCCTTCATATTGGAGCTAAAAATGTTCAGTCTTTTTAAGATGCCAATTCCAGAGTCTGTTCACAGGATCAGGTGTGCAATTTCACATGTTAATCTCCCAATGGGAAAAAGTTTGTATTAAAACCTGCGACTTCATATATGAGTTTGGAAAATAACAGTGGGTTTAGCATCTGACATCTGTGACAAATATATTTTAACATACCTATAAGTATTTTTTCAGACGAGTGTGTGCTGTCTTTTGTTTTGTAATAAAGGTAGGTAACCTGAAATGATTAATGATAAAAACCTGCACCATCTTGTTTTACCATAGTGGTATAAAACACATCAAATGCAGTTTTCTTGAGGATTTTGGGAAGTCAGATGGATACTGCTGCAATATTTAATATCCTAACTGAAGACGGAAGGTATCGAGGATTCAGTTCAAGTTTTCTAGATTCAAACTCTTAGTTAGCCAGTGAAGTTAAAGACTTGTTAAACAAAAATAGTTTTAAATAGCCTTCCTAAAACTCATTCCTCTTTCCAGTACCTGGTTTCTTTTGGCACTGGAAGTGTTGTCATTTGCACTAGGATTTCATGTTAAAGTGAGACACAAATCCCACTAAAATTTAACAGCATTTCATTTGGAAATAGCAGCCCTGCTCTACAATCCTCAGAAAGCTTTCCATCCCAAGCCTTACACTTCTAGTATTTAAAAATAAAAAAAGAAAAAACTTCTTTTTATGCTTTAAAAGGAGAAATAATTAAAAAGTAAAAATTACCGAGTCTAGTTTCCCTTTAACTGATCCCACTTATGCCACATTTTGCAATCTTTAGGCTTCTAAAAGAATCAAAGACAAGAGGATAATGTTTCAAGTGTCACCCCCAATTATGAAATAAATCCACAAGGAAAACAAATTACATCATCCATTTCCAGTATTTAAAAATAAAAAAAAAAGAAAAAACTTCTTTTTATGCTTTAACACTTCTAGTATTTAAAAATAAAAAAAGAAAAAACTTCTTTTTATGCTTTAAAAGGAGAAATAATTAAAAAGTAAAAATTACTGAGTCTAGTTTCCCTTTAACTGATCCCACTTATGCCACATTTTGCAATCTTTAGGCTTCTAAAAGAATCAAAGACAAGAGGATAATGTTTCAAGTGTCACCCCCAATTATGAAATAAATCCACAAGGAAAACAAATTACATCATGCTTTTAGCCCTCTGTGTACAACCGATGTAACAGAGAGACTCATCCCTTGTAAACAGCTTCTCCATGTACCAGTTTATCAGGATCCAGGCTGGGTGTGCAATGTTACACACATACACGTGCACGCACACGCTTTCTCTGCCAGAACCACTATTTTTGTTAGTTCTTGCTTAGTTATTTTACTTAAAAGGCATAGTTAAAGCACTCAGTGAGATCCCAGCTGCCAAAAACACAAATGAATAATGTCAGCACTGTGGTTCTGCAGAAACCAGCACGGAGTGGAGAGGGAGATGCACTAAGCACAATTCCCACCTCAGCTGCTTGCTGGCCCATATCCCTGTGTCTCCGGTGTGTATCGAATGGCAGGGAGGCTTCTTTTCCCCCCACCATCTGTCTGTCTCACCTCGTAGGCTTTGAGGGCTCTTTGGTGGGTGTTTGTGCTCAGCGTGGTGCATCTCCACCTTTGGTTTCAGCCAGTGCACTAAGCTGTGGCACACAGTAACAGTTTCCCCTTGCCCCCAGCCATTCCAGTGCTTCCATTACACACTTCCATTACGAACCTAACAGTTCCTGGAGGACTGAGTTTGCCAACACTGAGCCTTGATTTCTTCCTGAGACCAGTGTGTTTGAAAACAAAGAGTGACTTGCTGCTTGCACTCTTACCAATTAGCCAGCTCCAAAATGGTGAAACATCCGTGTCTTCATTTCAGCGTAAAGGCAAGCAATGCACAGTATAAATATAGTTATTTTCCTTTCTTTAATAAAGGCATGCAATGCAAGCTCTGCTGGCTGGCACTCGCAGTATAAATATAGTTATTTTCCTTTCTTTAGGGAATGTATCGTTCTCAATCCAGTTTTAGGATTACACTCTAATCTCAGTCTCTGAGCAGTCTGTGCCCACGTATCTAGGATTAGAATTTTGCCCTACAGTCTCTCCAATGGTACCTTACCCCAATTAAGATGACATATTTCATGCTCCTGAATGACATAAAGTTGGTAGAATTGCCTTCTTGCTTTCCAAAACTGATTTAGTTTGCTGACTGTGGGTTCTTGAATAAGTACAATCTCTAGCTTTATGACCCCTAGCATCGATTTAGGGCAAGAACCCTTGATACTATAGTTAATAACGTTAGAGTATTAATAATATTGGAATATTTATCTATTTTTTAAAACAGCATCTGATTTCTCTAGTCATCAGGAAAGCTTTTCCTAAAATGGGAGCCAATGGAAATAAGACTACATATGAGTGAATTCATATATTTCACTCATAGACACATATTTATATTGTATGTTCAACTGATTTCTCTGACACGGATTGACCTGACCATTTTAAACAATACTCAGATTCTTCCAAACTGTCTGTGGAGCCACTGCAAAAGTATACTAAACATTGCTTTTAAAAAATGCTAATTCCATGTGTTTGATGTAAATAAAAGCAGTATTAGTTACTGAAATCTTAATGCAATTACCTAAAAAAAAGTCTTCTAACAAGTCTATGTTATACATAAGACTATATTTTGCCAATGCAATTAATATTACAGATACACAGACTGCTATAGACATTTTGAAATTGCACAGAGCACGATTAGATTTGCAAATGCTTCTGGTTCATGAAGTTCGTGTCTTGCCACTTCTCATCTAATAAATTGAGACAGAATTAGTACTGGGTGAGTGGTTCTGCCTGCTGCCAAGAAGGGTTTGCTAAGGGTAAGACTCTAAAGGTAGAGATTAACTTGTCTTCATCCCTGTAATGTGCTGTACAGCCAGGATTTGTGCAATAGGATCAGAGAAGAGCCATATATGAATGTAACACTGGACAGCTGGTGTGTATGAATTTATATCAACCCTGATGCAAGATTTTGAGGTACTCTCCAATCCCAGCTAATATATGTATCAGAAATATACTTTCCCTGTTCCCTCAGAGATCGTTTTTTGCTGATGTTGGTTTCTAACATGCTAATTTTTTATGGAAATAGTATGATCCTTAAGTATTCTAAATTTGACCTGCAACCAGAACCCCAGCTAAGTAACCAAACACGGTGTTTTTCCAAATGGAATAACAAAGATTAGTCAAGTTCAGTATCTCCTGCTGACACAGGGTTACATACAAGTCTTTACATTGGGTTATTAAGCTAACTATTTATCCCGCCTGATCAATTAACAGGAAATTCAGGGAAATAAACAAGCAATTTAATGCGGATGACATTTACATACAAAATGTGTCCTTTAAGTAAAGTTTACACCATGCTGATATTCTAATATTCAGCTCGGGAAAATAGATTAGAATTTTGGTGGAAATAATGAACAAAATTTTTTACCAAAGTTATTTCCATATATTGAGAAGAAATCCAAGCTATGTTGGATAGGATTGACTGGCACACCAATTTAAAAAAAAAAACAAACCAGAATGACTTCATGGAGCAACTCCAGTGAAAACCTCCTTAAGGAGTCAAACCCTCCCCTTGGCTCATGATGAGCCAAAAACTGGGTCAATGGAAGCACTAAGCTACCGCCTTAGAGGAAGAAGATATCAATGAACTTTCAAGTCGTATTATTCCATGACTTTTTAAAATACTATATCTTTTCCACGTCAAACCAACAGACCACCTAGTCTACCCTTGCAAGGATAAGTTGCTTATGTGATGCACATCACCTGAACCAAGGAATGTTACCCAAAGTGATGCTCTGTAAGTCTTGGTTATGTAGTGGATAATAATCTATTAATAGAGAACCACTCCACTATGGATGCTGCTGGACCCTACATTCAGTGAAAATGCCAGCATTTAAAAGAAAACCTCACTTTTAAAAAAAGGAGATTTAAAGAACAGTCTTAAATAGCTTCTGCTTCAGCTCTGAGAAGAGGCTACATGAGAGACTACCTGTCAACAGAGAGTATAACATACTTCACATCCAACACAAAATCCAGGCTTGTTTTGGCAACTGCAGAGACTATACAGAAGACAACACAGGGATACTGGTGCTACTGGTTTCTGACCACAGTTACTGCTGCTTGGATGTTGGTAGATGTCTGTTAGAACAGGTGAGAAACAACGAGAGACTACCTGTCAACAGGGAGTATACCATACTTCACATCCAACACAAAATCCAGGCTTGTTTTGGCAACTGCAGAGACTATACAGAAGACAACACAGGGATACTGGTGCTACTGGTTTCTGACCACAGTTACTGCTGCTTGGATGTTGGTAGATGTCTGTTAGAACAGGCAGGACGCAGGGGATCCCATGTGGAAGTGGTGGATTTGGGTCAGAATAGATGGGTCTTTTCTCAGTAGGTTTTCCATCATTCTACACTTTGAAGTTGTATCAATTTTAGTCAGAGGTGTGATTTTAGGGGGGAGTTGAGTGAGGGGTGTTACTACAGCAGTAAAAGTGTAGAAGTACTAGGTAGGTCTGATAAAGAAAAGTGTCTTTTTAGTTGTATGCCTTTTTCCCACACAGGGACAGCTTCCCCAAAATAAAATGCATTCACAACTGTGATTAAAAAAGGGGATTGAAGCATTCTAATATTTCCTGAAAAGCAAAAATAGTGCAGCTTGGCAGTCATCTGACAGCCAAAAGTTTGTTAGCATTAATACTAGCTTTTAAATATTTTTTTTCTGATTTACTAGAATAAAAAGGTTAAAACTTCCCCTTTTTTTTCCCATTATGTCTATCTGGACCTCTGCTGGTTGCTTTGCACCTTCATATTCTCTAGTCAGGTGCACCAGCCAAAGGCCAGGCTGTAGAGAGGTTAGCACAAAGTTTAAAATTCAGCTTTGTTTTCAAGAATGTTTCATATTCAGCCACTCATCCATGAGAGAGAACCACCTAAATGGCTCAACTGGACCAATATGGTATGGCAAATACCATCATCTCAGTTGCCATCTATTTTTTGAGCTGCTGTAAAGTTTAGTTCAGCACTAAATCGCTTTAGTACTGAGCTTTAAAATGCTTTAGCAGCTCAGAAGCACTTTGGCAGCTCAAATGCTCTTCATGAAGCACCCAGCACCCTAAATCGCTTTAAGTCTAAAGTATCCTAAAAAAAAAAAAAAAAAAAAAAGGGAGGCAAATGGAAACATGGCCAGCAGCACATGCTCAGATACATATGTGAAGAACAAAGGACATGGTGGTGTTCTTGGCTTTGACGGGGTTCGGGGTTTGTCTGCTTCCAGGGAGACCTGGCTCTTGGCCAACACAGAATCTAGCATTTACAACATTTACAGATGTAAAGAATTTTTATTTTGAGGGAACACCAGCGGTGTGGTCCAAGTATAGTCTCTGCTCTCAGACTGAATGGCTGAAATGACTAACTTGTCTGCTTTTGGAAAACTCATTTTGAGGTGAACGGAGAAGAAAATTCAACTCCTTAATTTCAACTTACTTTAAAAAAAAATAAAAATCAATCATTTGCTGTGCAAATTTAGTTTGAAATGAATATACAGATGCCCCTGCCGCCTTTAGAGCTGGCTTGCTCCCTCTGCCAACCCCTCAACTTAAGCATCCCACACATGATAGCTTTTTAACATCCAGGCTGTAGGTTACAGGACTTATTTCCTTTATGACCTATCTGCACAAACAATCCTGAGCAGGGCACACTGTGGTTACTCATTCCCCTGGTATCAGGATCATTTGTAATGTAGTCACCTTCCTCTTTGGACAGACTTAGAAATGCTCACACAATCCATTTCAGTGATGGCTATTAGATTTTAGTCTAGACTTCTACTTTTCAACTGGCTTTATTTACCTGTACATATATATGGGTAATTAACCTGAGCTTTGCTGGTTTTATCACTGTTTTTATCACATCACTACAAAGCATGTTCTTTTACCTATTTCACTTCATTTGGCACTTAGGGGGGCTGATGTCATTTGGAACAGCTTATTTCTACCATTCCTTTCCATCTGTTTCACTTAATTTACAGTAGACAGGGCTCCAAACTATTGCAATTCCAAAGTTAAACCAAAGATACCTGCCTTCCTGAGCATGAACTCACAAGCACTGAAAGCTACAGCTGTGACTGGCAGAAGTCCTACCTGCTTATCTTAGAAATTAACCTGTATAACCTGCTCTGGTTCTTATATTGTTGAATGTCTTATACTTTTCTTTGGGCCTGCTGATTCCCTTCTTTACAAGAGAAAAGTTGCTGTCTCTTTGCAGCATGACTCCACGAGATCACATGAGAAAAATGTCTATCCTGGGGGAACAAGGAACACTAGAAGAAAAGCACTTGTACCGCTTAGCAAGCGGCATGGCAGCAGGAGGTAAGCAGGAAGAAACCTAACTGCACATTTGTTTACAGGATTGCTAATATACAACATACAAGAAACAGCCAGCAACAGGCTCAATGTCTTTAAAAGGTATTTGAAATTTATCTTAGGAGTAACCAGAGAAATGCTTCTCCTAAGGTAGTTAAAAGTTAAGATTCTTGGCATTCAGAGTTTCATCAAGAGACAGTAAGCATCTGGAAGAAGAGTCCAGGTCACACAGGAGCTCAGCAACAAAAGCCATAGCTGGACATTATGAGGTTCTGACTCACCACTGCAGGCTCTTCTTTCTAGAGCTGCTTTCTAGAACCTGCCTCATGACAAGGCAGGTTCCAGCTAATAAGATTTCTCTAAAAATAAAACTGTATTAAAAATGCAAACTCTCTCAAGCAGAGAAAACATTCTCTTCTGTTTCATAGTGTTACATGAATTACTGTTAATTGTAAATTGTCCTTTTGTACACTTGACTGTGCACATCCTGTTTATTTTTACTGCAGTTTGATTGTATAAATTTACATTATTCAAACAAAGCAGTGCAGGTGGCAGTGGAAACACCTTTTTTAGTTGCTGCTATTAAAAAAAAAGTTTGATTTGCTAACTTACTTACACTAAAATGCTGGCACTTGAGGAAAAAAAAAACATTTTTTGGGGTAGAATTATACTGTAGACAGAATCACTTTCTAATTTCCTCCACTGCCATTTTTTCTGGTAAAGTTATACTGCAGACAGAATCACTTTCTAATTTCCTCCACTGACAAGAGAACTGTATATGCTTTGTGTCAGAACTGCGGCAGCGGCAAGAGATGCTAATGAGAAATCAGCTGATGGCAGTGAACCCTCAGCTAATGAGTGCGGGCCAGCAGCGAATGCAGGCGATTCCCTCCCAGTTTGAGCCTCGACTGGTAGACAGGTATTGTGCACCACTTCTCTATTGTAACACTGCAGTTAAAGAATAACTGTGTACCGGAGTATATCAAGATCTTAGATTATTCTTAACTAAACATTGCCCTTTGCATGTCTGAATGTATTTATATCTTCTCAGAGATCTGTTACCTTCAGCTGAGATGATGGCATCAGCTGACCCGAGACAAATCCATATCGCGTCCCACCTGGGACCCGCCGTCCCGCAGCACCCAAACATGCAGAACATATTGTCCAACCGTGTGTACCCAGGCCCAGGTAAGGAAGCCTTGTCTGCATCCTGAAAAGCGATAGCGTGTAATCGAGAAAGCAAACTTCACCTGCCAGTATTTCACTGGGTTATCCGTAGTGTCAATAAACAGTTTTTCTTTGGAAAAACAGCCTCACTAAAAGAAGCAGTCTGCCCAGCAGAGACTCTAAACTGTGCCAGTTTGAAACACATCCATTTTAGCTTTTGTTAAACACACTTGATTTTCAAAATCATTTGCATGTTTGTGTACTCTCCTTTTCCTTTTGTATTTTCCAAGCGTTTTCACACCTAAACAGAAGGCTGTAGCTAAACAAATGAGTCCAATCAACAACACTTGCTGCTACATTTAACTCTTGATCATGTATGAGCATTGGCTGTTTTAAAACACTGCTTTACTGATCATATTCTTTAATCATAATATCACATGCCATTTTTCCTCATGTAGGACAACTACAAGCAATTTTAAAAGAGGCTTGAAATTATAAGGCACAGCTCTAAGGGGAAGGCTAAATATCACAGTGTGGCAACACAACTGGGGCACGCATGTCAAGCTGCACAGAAATTTACATAAATTTACAAATCACTTTATACAAAGAGTTCATATCTTAAGGTTCCTTCTTTGAGATAAGTGAATAAATTCTTGAGGCCACATAGACCTATAAACAAAAATTTCTGGCTTCAGCTTTTCCCCCACCCCTAAATAAGAGATCCCCTCAAAAAGAAATGTAATTTAAAATTCCATGGCATCTAGGCTGTAAACAGCCTTGAAGGAGCAGGTTTGCTTTGCTTAACTGTTGATTATTATTTTCTGAGCATCTAGATGTACTTCAAAGACACAATTCACCAAATAAACCACCCTTCTGTCTCTTTCCTTTATGGATAACGGCAGGTTTACCTAACTGCAGATCTGATCCTGCAAACACCCAGTGCTGGACTTCATGTTCCTGCTACTTGTTCCCAAACCAGTGAACACAAATGGGATTTAACTTGAAGTCACATCAGTTTCCTGGGGAAGCACATAGTTCAAGTCTTAAAAAGCTTTTTAAAGTGTCTCTGCATTGCTTTGGGGTTTGTGCATTCACCTGAGGAAACAAGTGCATTTTCAAGATGTTTTTTCTATCTTCCCTTTAAGGATACAGCTTTCTGCAGCCAGAATCCATGGAAGCTGTGGCCAGAAGACAGGAACTGGTTCAAAAGCAAAATATTGCCAGGTAATCAATAGTAAGCTTTGCTCTGAGGTACACAACAGGATTAGGGCAGCAGAGGCAGCTGGAAATTATTGAGTCACAGATGTTTTGTGGGTTTTTATTTACAGTGATTGAGATACTTTTTCAAATAACCCAGAGAAGCAGAAGGCCCTTTGTTATCTCTGAAGGTCTGAAGCTACTGAACTTTCTGCTTGTCTCTATTCTGCTTTTAGCCTTGAAATGATATAAGAAAAAGAAACAACCGCCTCAGCTTGATTAAAAAAACAAACAAGCTACAAACTTCAGCCCCAGCCCTTGAACTCTGGATCCAAACACCCTGAAATTACAAAAAGTCAGAAACAAAATTCAAACTTTACAGCTGTGTGCTATCCCACACAGCATTTTAAGCCTCTAAGGCTGGGCCCTGGGGATGATTAGCTCCGTCTCCACCCTACCAGGGTGGACAGCTTTCCTAGTTTAACCAAATAGTTTGGATATCAGGAATGTCTCATAATTATTTGTACCAGTTTCAGTGTAATCAGTAGCTGGTTAAGGAACCACCAGTGCCCTCCCTTCACAGCCACACCATTTCCACAGAGGAACTCCCTACCTTCAACCACTCCTGTGCTGGGCTTTGGCACGGTACTGAGTGGCAGCATCCCTCACACAGGGAGCAAAGAACAGATAAATTCGGAGCAGGCATCTCAAGAGAATGATGACAGAAGTGTTTTGGAGCTCTTCAGTCAGCAGAGCTTGATTGTGGAACTCCTCCAAGCACAAAATGTGCATCAACAACACATTTCATATAGCTGTTGCCACATGGCAAATACACTGAGGAAAACAATGAAATAGCCAGCAGGAAGGATGGCCATCACGTATACCCTCAGCCACATCAGAGCTTGTTCTACCTGTTCAGGCTCTTCCCCAGCCCTCCAAATCCCAACATAAAAGAGTTCAGCCTAAATCCATGAGATAACCTTTTACCCCAGTATTTTGCCATCCTGGCAATTTCTACTACCTTCATGGTGCTTTCTGTAGCACATCACCTTTAGAGCCACACTTGTTCCTATTGTCCTTTATAGAAATCAGATGTTGGCAGACCATCTCCTGCCCTTGCAGTAGCTCCTGTTTTGTGCTGCTGAGCACCTGTGTGCAAATCCTTGTTCTCCAGGGGTCTCTGCCTCATACCAAAGCTCAGTGATCCCCTGTCTGTTGGTCCTCAGAGAAGCAGACTCTCATATCTGGAGGAGTAGTCAGGAATGCAATGCTTTTTGCCGTTTATCCCCACCTCGAGAGCTGTGTGCGAGTAATGACAGTTGGGCAAAATGTACAAGGAGGTGGTACAGAGATGTAACACTTGCATTGGATCTCTGAAAGCACAACATTCATAACTCGGAGGTTGTAGCAAAGATGAAAAGAAGGCAGAGAAAAAGCCCTGAATCTTATGGAGTGATCAACTAATTCCTTCTCACAACAATCATCTGAATAGACGCCTTTTGCACAAACTGTTTTCCTGACATTTTTACATTGATGAGAAATCTTAAAGTCAGCCTCTCTCTGACCTGCTACCCTCATTGCCATGTTAAGAAAGCTATCTTAGTGCACTTTAAAGATCTGGCTGCCCTCACAAGCCCTTTTCCAAAGAAGAATGCGGGAAGTCCCACTTGAAAGCTCCTCAAAGCAAGGAAAGGAGGCTCAAGCATTTCTGGTTTGTGTCTGGTAGAATCTACTTCTCCCAGGTATCAGCTCCAGCTGAAGCTGTGGAGCTCCAGGAGCTTTCTGTTTGTTCACAAGCTCAGCTCCAGGGAAAGCTGATGCCAGCAAAAGTTGGTACAGTGGAGACACATCCTACTCCTTCTATTCTCCGTATATCACTGGTAAACCCTCCTTACCACGGACAGGAAGCTGGCACAGACCCTGGAGCATTGGCTTTATCCACCAGGATAAATATATCCATAGATAATATAACTCTAGTTCTTTATAATTTACAATATCACTGCCATTTCCCATTTCTCAGTGTTATTTTCTGATTGGCAATGTGAATCACTTATTTACTTTAGTCTTTGTCCCTTATGATCCTGGAGACAATTTCCTAAATCCCAACTGAGCATAAGAACTGTAATAAAGCTTGGATTATCAATATACAAATAACACTTTTTTGTCTGAAATATTATAATTTTCTGATTGGCAATGTAAATCACTTATTTACTTTAGTCTTTGACCCTTATGATCCTGGAGACAATTTTCCAAATCCCAACTGAGCATAATCACTGTAAAAACCCCTCTATTATCAATGCACAAATAACACTTTTTTGTCTGAAATATTATCCAGAGGTATGACATGGAAGATTTATTCCCTTGTCCTTTTAGTTTACCATATGTATGTGGCAGCGCATCAAATATAGCCAGGTTTGCCATTCCATCTGCAGTTTGTGATGTCTCACACATAGCAATATAGGAGAGCGAGGAAAAAAGCAGTAGTTTTGCCTATTCAGTTATCTGAGTTTTAAGCTGCTACTGAAACAAAAAAGGCGATGAAGGACCTGAGCTGCCCTAACTGCTTGTTGTTCTGTGTGTCTCTTAGAATGGAAATGGAGATGAGCGCTATTTTTCAGCAAAAAGAAATGGAGAAGGCTCATCGAAAAGGGCTGCTGGGCCTGGAAGCACCTTTCCTTTACCACGGGATGCCAGGTAGTCCCATGGCTTTCCGTGGCAGGCACAGACTACCTGAAGGCCATCTTCCCAACGACTTATATGTTCACCGAACCACCCTCGATGAAATTCATGGCAACACTATGCTCATGGCAACCAGCCCATACCCTCCAGTCAGCACTTTGCAGAGGGAGAGGGGACGTCGACCAGGGAGAAGAGCTGGAAATCACAAAACTGCAGACTGTGGTGCCAATGGCATGAAGAACCAAGCCGATGACAAAACTACGGACCCTGCTTCAGCTGCAGCGGATGATGAGAAAGAAGACAAGAAAGAAGCAGAGGTGGAGCCACCAAACAAACATGAACAAAGCAAAAACCAGACCGAGCCACCTGCAGTTGCCAAAAACTGTAAAGAATTTGAACAAGGTTTGAGAAAAAACTGTGCTACTCACGAAATTTCTGCTGAAACCAACAGCTGCAGCAACACAAATGAGAAGGAATCGAATAGCTCCTGTGCTGCTTTTGATGACAAGTACATGTACCCTTCTGCAATCCCATTCTCAGCGTTACCATACGGATTTCCAGTACCCAGCAACCCATTGCTACCTTCAGGTTTGTGAGCTTTCCAGATTACAGTTAGTGGCATGTTGATATTATTTATTTTTATTGACTGGCTCTCTTATTTCTTCCCTCTGTTTCAAGCAAATTTTTGGTCTGATAGAGACATGGCAACTAAAGGTAGAATTAATAGGCTGCAAATAGTAATAACTTGGTAAATCCAAGTCAGCAAAGGTAAAGAGTGGTTTCCCTACCTGCAAACTGGTGCTTGCTGGTATAATGGAGGCTTCAGCATCTTAGGTAGCAATGCTTTACTTTGGGGGACAATGAAAATTGCACAGCAAGAAGTCACAAAGCAGCCTCCTAAGTGTTTCAGGCAGTGTTTTACTTTGAGGGACAATGCAACTGAACAGCAAGAAGTCACAAAGCAGCCTCCTAACTGTTTCAGGCCTCTGTGCCATGCACTGTACCACTGTAGGATGTCATCCTGTCCCTCTATCAGTCCCTGGGGACAACACACTTGTCACCCCTAAACTGTCAAGTTAGCAGCACTTCCAGGTTCTCCACAATTCTGTTCAACGTGTTACATCCTCTCCTCTCCTTCTGGTGGTTGGGGGAAAGCATAGCAGCACAAAATATACCGATCATAATCCCTGTGTGTGTCAAACAGGACAAGGAATATACTAACTAGAGAAAACATGCAGTAGGATTTGTATGTGTAGTGACTGGTACGTACCGTGCCAGCAGTAAACAAAAGAAGCCACCAAAAGAAAACACTCCAGAATCAGCTACTATTGATTATCTCAAGATTTTGGTGTCTAGGACTCCTCTGTCTGTGACTACACACTGCTGTTAGTATATTAAGTACTGGAGAATTGTAAAATTTCTCATGTTAACAGCCATTTCCTATTAATTTGCCAGCAAAGTCCTACAAACATCACATTTGTGTTTCCTCCTCAAAGGAGCCCATGGCCTGATCCTGAATGGAGAAGACATGTCTTCCATTGAAGACATTCGCAAGTGGACTGTTGATGACGTATACAACTTCATCATCAGCCTCCCAGGCTGTTCAGATTATGCCCAGGTGATTATAAACATTCAACACATTCTCAGCTCTTTAGGAACATCTAGATTTAAAGGTAATCAAACAAATGTACATGCTAGAGGTTAACTACTCCCTGAGCTCTTATAGGCATCACTCCATTTGAAAAATGAAATATCATTAGAAATGCAAGCAAAGAGGTTGAAGTCTTGTACATTCCTGGTAAAGCCTTAATAAGATCAACACTATTCTTTCAGTGGTAGCAAGCTGCTCACTCCCTAAAAAATCCAAAAGAACTAACATTGAAACATTACAGAGTTCCCACTTGCCAAGAACAAGTAGATAAGTTACAGGCAAATGTGCTGATATCCACACACCTAAACAAGAGACCTCATGTTGCAGTTAAGAGATAAATATGAAGATAAAACACTAAAATTATTATTTCCTCCTTTTACTGTCTATGCCTCGGGATTAAGCATAAAAAATAACCAGTGAAGTTTGTTTTTGCACACCGTGATGTGTTTTATCATTTCATAAGATATTTAAAGACCACGCTATTGATGGAGAAACCCTCCCACTGCTAACTGAGGAACATCTCCTGGATACAATGGGATTAAAACTCGGACCAGCATTAAAAATCCGCTCTCAGGTATGACCAGTAAATGTGCCAAAATGGCAAATCCCAGCAACATGAAAGAGTCAGAAGCGAACAGGATGACATTTTTCCAAACTAAACCACATCATACTATCCTATCTAGGTAACTATCATAATATTAGGAGAAAAGAAATTACTCTACCACAGTCTGCTTTTGCTCCTCTGCATGTTACAAAAGCATGCAGAGAGACACTAAGGGGAGGTGAGGAGTGTCAGCTTGAGAGACACTTGAAGTGGAGTCAGGATACAACAGCACTGGAGACCAGGCTGAGGCTGGAAATGGAAAAGGCATGTTTGACAAATTAACTCACTTTCACTCCTCTTTTCCCTTCCCAGCTGGTAAGAACTGCTTGGATACATACTTGCTTTAGCTCCAACCTGGCTTTTAAAACATACCAAGTAAAAGTTTCTACAGCCTTTCTGGGAATATAATCTTACATGTTTCATGGACAGGCTGTCCCTCTATGTTTAAAGTTTTCTGCTCTTAATTTCATCCAGTAATATCAACTCTCTCCGTGTTTCTGTTGTTGCCTGGTTCTTTTTCCCCTTCTTTAATGCCTTGCTCTCTCTCACTTCTCTCATTAAAACCACCTTCCCTGCTCCTGGCTGGCTCTGTCCCATTGGTGCTACAGCACCTAGAGAGCAAGAGCAGCCTGTCAGGCCCAGCACACTGGGCTGTTTCCCAAGCTGAGTGTTGCCAAGCTCCTTCCACAAGAACTCAGGCCTAGAAAACTAGGAAAGAGGGAAAATGGAAGAGATTTTTTTCACTTTTTCTAACTATTCTTAACCCTTGGGAATGGCTGGGATCTCCTGGATGTCCCTGGCATTGCTACATGACAGTGATGTTTAATGGCTTTAATGCTATCTCAAGAAGCAATCGCTGCAATTGTGCTTTTTTGTCTTTAAAGGTGTCCCGACGTCTGGGCAATGTGTTCTACATGATGAACCTTCCTCTCTCCGTGCCTCTGCCACCTGCTCCAGGGAAGCCCTCAGATCAGCCCTCTGACATAGCCTCCCCTCTTCACTGCAACAGCAGCGGCGACACGCTGGATAGTCCCTGCTCTCAGGACCCAGAAACTTCCAAAGCAGTGGAACAGATCGTTTCAGAAAGCAGGGAAAATCCATGTGACACAGCTGGATCTCAGGCTGACTTCCAGATGATCACTTTTCAGAAAACCTGAGCTGAGTCCAGAACATGAAATGATTTTAAGTCGTACAGGAATCTGTATTTACAAAGCATTTGAGAAGGTAGCTACAGCCTGGAACCTCTGTATGGCTGGAGCTGAGTGAAATAAGCTGCAGATGCAGCATGAGGAAGTATGGTACCTGAAAAGCATTAAAAAAATGCAACTACATGTTAGTGCAATTACTTTCAAGTGCAATTCATTGAAAAGGATACCAGTTCAAGTAACAGGTAAATTTAATTTTTCATTAAAGTCCAGTGATCACTGAAATATGTCAGAGACTCAGAGAGTGCTGTCTGTCTGACACTGTGTTCCTGCTGAGAAACTACAAGGAAAAGTTAGAGCTTCCACACATAGCTGACTTCTGCTTCTGTTCAACAAAATTTATAGAGGATTCATTGGGAGAGTATGGAATTACCTGCAGAATATAGAGAAATATACCCTAGACTCAGCAATTGGAGTTAATTCCATTGCTATTCTAGAACTAAGTCTTTCTAAGTGCCTGGAAAGTGTATACAGGGTATAGACAAGAAACAAGGATTAATCCCTCGACATGAAAATGCCGTGTGTAACAGCAATTTTAAATATTCTGAGGCATTGTTATCAATGGGGTTTGAATTTATTTTGAGTGATTGCACAGCTGAGGTGAGGTTAGGAGGAAGTATCAGCAGACTCCACCATGAAGACCCATCACTGGGACAGTAACGTTCCCCCAGGCAGCAGGCTCAAAGCCACCCCTTCCCCTGAGCCCACCCGGGCAAGCCATGAAAAGCCCAGCAGTGCACTCAGTGCTATTAATTTTGGAAGATTTTAGCCACAAAATAGAGCTTGTATATAGGGATAAAGCCCCAGCATTTCATTATGATTTCTAGATGAATTAACTTTGTTCCTTCTTTGGTCACACACTGGTCTTCCACGTAGGCTTTGGAAGTCAGTATATTACAGCACCGTCTTCCACCCTCCTCCTTGCAAGCACACGTCTTTACTCCAAAGGACGTACAAATGTTTTTGATAAAATAAACTTCTCTAAACTGAGGGTTGATAGATTGTGGATCTGCTGTTTATTGCTATTTTAGTTTAGTTTGTGTGGCCTCAAGTGCTTAAAAACCAACGCTGTTTAGATTGGGAGTGTCTAAGTACACACAGAGAGGGAGTATTTTCATTTTTTAGACTGTGGGCAGCTGTTCTTTTACTTTAGCCTGAGAGAAATGATTTCATATTTTTGGTATAATTGTGCACTAGATAATATGTGCTTAGATGTTTGCAACAGCAATTTAAGATGTTCATCCTACTATCCAACCTTCACACCTGTGATCTGGTGAAATCATGGGAGTCTTTCCTAAGAGTTTGGATTGTGTCTTACGCATCACCTGTTGGTACTTTTCATCTAAGGAACTATTTACTGAATACCCAATAGCATTCAAAAGAAAGCAAAATTATAACCTGAAGCTGGAAAGTTTAAATATAACTCCACAAGACTGTTTAAAAGATGTACAACAGCAATATTAATCTTGGACTGCAATTAGCTTGTCTCAATTAATTTCAAAAAGTGTTAGCCTCTGTTCTCTTCATTAACTTTTCTACGTTTTTGTATGGCTTTAAAACTTAGTAAGGCAGCTTGGAGAGTTTTATGTTGAATTTGGTAATGTAAATGTTTACTTTTTCCGATTTTGGATGAAGCACAATTGTCAATGTAAAATGTCATACTCTGAAATGCTTTTACTGTTACTTTAACATGTACAATCTCAGCTTAATTACACCAGAAGAAATGTTTTAGAGTAGATTTAAATATTGTGGGTTTTTTTTAATGTAGATTGTCCGTAGAACATGAGGGGAAAATATTTTTATATAGTAGAAGTGCTTGTTAAAATAAAAAAAAAAAATCAGACCAGCTCTGTTGAGCATCTGAAACAATTTTTAACTTTGTTTTTTGTACAATTGATGATCACGTTGACAATGTCACTCATCTAATTAAAGACAGTTCATGAACTTGTTTTCAAATGGCATCCTACCTCCTCATTGTATGAAATATTTGAGTTAACCTACACGTGACCTTCTCCACCCTAGAAGAGGAACCTCTGATACGTTTCCAGGTCAATGAAGATGACCTGAGATGCCGAGGTCCAGGACCACGAGATGTCGCTGCAAAGCTGCGAGAGGTTGTCTACCACCCCTCCCAAGAGAAATGCGGCACGATTGAAGTACAGGTGGCTTGTGAAGAGCAAAAATACGAGGAAACTGAACTTGTTTTTCTCAAGTAACGGCAGAGGAGTTTGCCTTGAAATCCCATATGCCAGGGGAGAAAGATTGAAATCTGGTTGTGAAGAGTGTGACTATTTTTATATACGGCTCTGCCACGAACAACGCCAAAAGCAGAGAAAAGCTGGGATGCAAACTTTGCAGTCTGGTACCACTTCTGCAATTAAAAAAAAAAAACAAACCCATATGATATTTTGCACGTTCTGGGTTCTTCTTCCCAAAATGAAGAAAAGAATGACTTCATGGCTTCCTGTACTGGGGGGAGATGTGTCGGAGCAGCCAGAATGCACTGGACTGCACACAGCCGTAGAGAGAAATAGGAAGGAAAGGGATTTACCTAAACAGACATAACCAGTTCTATTTCTAATGAAGGAAATACCACAGGTAATGAATGTTTCCTCTCCTACAAACACTTAGGAGAGAATTAAAAAAGAAAAAGGTAAAAGTAAAAAAAAAAATACATAGAATCAGCAGACAGAGCCGTATTTTCAGATTGTGATGTGTTTTCAGGAATTACATTTGTATGTAAACATTGAGGCCTTACTGATTCTCTGCAGCTACAAGCTCTTTTTTGACTTTTAATGCTTTTTCCAGCTGTAAAGGGGTGTAGCTGCAATCCCAAGTATGTAACAAAGCTGGCAGAAGTGTGCTACTTTCTGGTGCCTGTGTCACCACTGCATTCATTTTTTGTGCTATGCCCCTAAAATCAGAATGGGATGCGGATGATGTATTTTAATACATGTGGCATCACTAGAAGTGTTTCACTTAACACCTATTGCTGTATTAGTCTGTAATAGTGAGGCAGTGGATGAAGAAGAGAATGTTTTTTATGAGATGTTCTAGAAGTACCTGATTTTGCCTGTATCTACACTAAATGTGTAGGTTCCTAAGGACAGGGACTTCCATTTCTTCTTTTTTTTTTAATAGGGCCAAGGTTAAAGACAAGATAAATAAAAAGGTATAGCAAACGTGTAACAAAATGGTTCTGAACTACAAATAACAGAGGTAGGAAAGTCCTAAAAGGGAAAAAATAGCTTGTCCTTCCTACCACAACCTGTGTTTCTTACCTCATGATTGCTGCATACAATGATGATGTGGAATACATATTCCTACAGATCTAAACTGATTATTCTCTGCTCCATTCCCCAGATGAAAAATCTTTTAATAATGCTATGAATATAATCAATTAGGCAGAATTCTCACTTTGTCCAAGTCAAGCAGTCACTCTAATCATACAAATGAAAACAAAACCAGGCAGCTACGTCCACAAAGCAATAGTATTTCAAACCAACTCATATCCACATATGGATTTTACGAAACTTAGTATTCTAAGACCTTGTACAATTGTGAACCCTCCACAAAATAGTTTTTCAGAATGTTAATTTATCCTTTGAGTACGAAACAGAAAACAGTCACCTCCAGTTTTTAGAATCATCTCTAATTTTTAAACTAAGTAGACACTTCTCATATTTTCGTCTTTTCGATTACCCTAATATAATGGTGATTGGTTTTGTAGTGCCTTGAGTCACCTTCAACCCCAGACATTTTACAAAAAAGCACCCAAAACTAGATATAGCTCTTGTTTTGGTACCTTGCTCCGATAATGGCATAATAAATGTCTTATCTAAGCCCTTTATTGTTCACTGGAAAATAAGAAGCCAGCTCTGTGAGGCTGGGTGTTCATCAGGGTTCTGCCACCTGTGAAGCTTGGGTTTGATTAAGCCCTTCATTTGATAATAAATAGCTATAGTTATATTGCTGTGGCAATTTCAGTGTAATAGGAACACACGTTCTGGTAAGAGGAAAAACTCAACTCTCCTTTTTTGTTTGTTTGTGGGGGGGGGGTTTCCAGGGTGGGGGGGTCTGCTT